CTGTGTATGTGAAAACAATCTCCGTTTCTTACTGTTTGTAACCAGGAAAACCCTGCCCAAGTTAGGGAGTGGCTTATCTGGTTCTTGGCATATCTTGGGGCCCATCTGGCTGAGGGAATGTTATTAATTATTAATTAAGAGCTGACAATGGGCAAGGGAATGCTACATCCAATTCAAATGGAACTGCACGGGTCATGATGTGCTTGTATGTCCAGACCACCCATTTTGGGGCACCGGTCTATTAAGGATATATGGGTCCAGTCTGGGAATAAATCAAAGCCCTCCCCCCTTCCAGAAGCTGTAAGGTGTCTCCCTGCCCTGCTAATGCTACCTCCTGTTACCTAGTCCCCTTAGGGCCCAGCTTCTACCTCTGGATCCAAAATTTGGTCACAGGGTCTGGATCCATTGACCATGACTTATCTATCCCTGTTTATGGACTGTTCTTGGTTACACATAATATTTTTCTCAGTAAAACTGGAATCCTTTCTCTCTCTCATTTTGATCTAAAATCTTTTCAGGGTTGTCTGATTTGCTCTAGGTCCAACCTATATTCCAACTACCAACAAGTATAAAAATGGTGACACTTACCCTATAGGGTCAAGTTCAGATGAGGCAATAGAATAGTTCCACAGATGAACTAAATTCCAAGATTACTAAAATATGTCCTCCGACAGTTTAAAAAAAAACCTAAAAAAATAAAGCCTAATTCATTTCTATTCACTAACGCCCAAAGCAGTGATAAGAGCTGAGTTGCAGTGGTAAAGGTAGTAGTATTCTATCCCACTTCACATAACTATAGTGCACCTACCCTATGCTCTTGACAGAACTATGCTTCAGGCCATATTGATAAAAAAAATCTGTGCCACAGCTAAATCCACAGGATATTTTTATGTACAAGTTCATACATGGTTTCCAAGCATGCTGTAAAAGAGAACAATGTCCTGTTTATGTGGGTGTGTGCACTGTCAGGCAGGTGAGATTTAAGTGAGTGCAGATTTTTTGAATGGGAATCAAAAAGACTATTTGGAAATGCCCTCCTTTGCTCATGCCAGGTTTGTGACTGAACATTTGAAATTCACAGATACTAAAGGTGTTACTAGTAGCAAGCAGTGTTCTGTTGCTTTTTTCCACAAAAGCAGCAGGAGCAAAACAGGTAGTAGAGCAGAAAACTTTCCCCAAACCCGTAGTATTGGGTGCACGTATTTTTTCCTCATTTTTTCTTCAGTCACAAAAATTGACTATTTTTTTAATGAAGGGGGGAAAAGAGGCTAATGTTACATTTGTTCTAAAAAAAACCCCCTATTTGTTTTCACATTTTATTCTCTTGCAAATCTCAATTCTTCAAAGATAGTGTTGAATGTTGTTCCGCTTTAGAATAATACTCTGAGGAATCTCAGCTAGCAAATGTTTCTTTTAAAGGGAGCATAAGTACCCTGTCTTAGACAGTTTTTACAGTAATATCATGATTCTTTATCTACTTACTCTCCTTTTCAGAAAAATTCCATATAAATTGTTCTTTCAAGCTGCAGTAATTTGTGCACTTTCTTCATTTAATTTCTCCAAGAAGGTGTATGTCTAACCCTGCAGTGGTCTGATCTGACTCTTTTCTGCTGATTTGCCTCTATTTAGAAATTGCATCCTTGTTGGACGTAAATGAGACCAGTTACTGACAGAATATACTGATGAATTATTTACTTATTTTAAACATGCATTTAGCAAAAAAGAGCACCTATTCCTTTCTTAAGGCACTCCCAGGCACCTTAAACATAGTTTATCCAAATAGACTACGCCAGTAGCAACTCTTTGCCCAAACATTAATATAATTATTAACCCAGCAGACTTCTGACGTTTAGGATTTCTCACCAGAGTCATCCTCCCATTCTCTTATCTCAGGAAAGCAAATGTGGCTTGCAGCATGGCCTGCTGCTTGGTAAAGTAGGACTATTATTGGAAATTAGGTTTAGAAAGAGAGGCGCATTGTATTGTTCTGAGCACGAAATGGAAAGCCTGCTGATCCTACCTCTGACAACGATTCCCTCCAGGATCTTGGGCAAGCTACTTAATTTCTTTGTCTGTAAAATGGTGATGACATTTACTTGTTTATCAGCCAAACTGACAGGACACTGTGAAACATAATGCATGAAGATGACAAACCATATACGTGCTAGGATTAATATGAAGAGCTCAATACAATAGAGCAACAGTGTTTTGAACTGTATAATATAATAAGCAATGAAGATCAAATGCCTGTGGCAGTTATTTTTAAGGGAATAATGCCTGAAATTCCCAGGGCTTATAAACTTGTCCCTAAGAATAAACTACATTTTCTTTTTCTGACAGAGAATGCTCAGGAGCAATACAAACCAAAAATACTCCAAATCGTTACCTTACAATGAGAATACTGCAGCAGAAATGGTAAAGAGATATAGTTATCAGTAATATCACTCTCAAAACCACTGCAGAGTGTTTCAACTAAAAACAAGTTGGCACAATGAGCAAGCAAATAGGATAGAGCACACATCATTGCCTTTAAAAGTGTAGGTCACGGACCATCTTTCACTTCAAGCTTTTCTTTTGTGGTAGAAAGTGGCTACAGATCAGATAGCAGCATGTCTGACAGAGAACAAAAAAGGCCATGTGAGGTTAGAGGGGTGGCTTCAGGAGGCAGAACTTTCACAAGGAAAAATGTTTAAACAAAAGCAGTTACAAACTCAAATGGAACAGGACTGATTTTTAAAAGCACTTTTATGGGTGTATTGGCTGCAATTTGTGAAAACGTAAGGCTCAGTTTCCTTTCTATACTATTTAATGTCTCTGTTGGAAACTATTTCCTGGAGGAACTGTAATAGCTGTGAATAGACTAACCGACTTACTCAATTCATTTCTGGTCCAGTTCAGTTGGTGTCCAGTTATTCCTCCCCAAAAGGCAATATCTACTCCTTGAGTCTAAAACTTTTTGATCACTCAGAAGCCTTGACAGAATGTTTTTGATTTGTCTTTCTATAAATTTCCTCCTACCACTGAAGACTAACTAAGGTTATGAAGGTGCTAGGTATATCCTAGCTCACAACAATAATGTACATTAAGGTTTGAGGCCTACTCCAAATCTCTTTAGAGAAGGAAGACATTGTGAGTTGAATGAAAAGAGCACCTCACAGTATCTTGTTCTAAAGAAGCAATTAAATGTGTTTGCATATCATGGTGCTGTTATAGGCCAGAATTGGCTTTGGCACTTTTTTTTTTATTGTACAACAGTATTGCCAACTTCAAGGGATCAAAAATCTTGAGTTGGACCTCTAAAATGATGAGATTGGTCCCAAAACTCATGAAGTCTTAAAAAAAGATTGCATTGTGTTTTTTAGGTCCGTCTTTTGATTTTTTTGAACTCCCCCTGGCCATCCACAGGGTATGTGCATCTGACAGTGTTGCCCACTCTGCCACATGTACTGGATAAGGTGATGTTGGACCCTGCCACAGGAACTCTCACCCACACATCTTCCCGTCTCCTGCCCAGCAATTAATCCTATCCCCCAGCCCCTATCATCACCTCCCCATCAGTTCAGCCCCAATACCCCACCAACCCCCACCGCCCTTAGTTCACCCTCCCAGCACTCACCCCATCTGCTCAGAACCACTGTCAATACAGCCCCCCCCACCCCATCAGCTCCCACCCTCCTCACCATAGTTCAGCCCTCTTAGCCTCACCTCTGTTCCTTTTTGGGTTCTTCACCCTCCCCAGGCCTGAGGGGGGCTGCAGTGGGGTCCCCTCTCCCACTTCCCAGGCTGGCAGCAGGAGCCTGGGAAGCGGGAGATGGGGCCTCACTGCAACAATTTCTAAGTAAAATTAAGCCTCACTCATGATCTCAGCATAGAACTCTCATGTCAGGGGTGGTTGCTTTTATCATTTTTCTGTGAGTTCATTTGAGAGTGTAGTGATTGTCTGGTTTCACCCCACTTAGTTGTCATTGTTGCATTTGGTGCACTGGAGGAGGTACATTACATGTTGTGATAGGCATGTGTAGGACCCAGGAATCTTGAAAGGTGTGCTGTTGGGGATATTGATCATCATAGCTGGATCTGTAGAGGTAAGTGTGGTGAGTGGTGGATTTCTTGCATATGGTTGTTTGTAGGGTTCCATTGCTGAAGCTGAACATGGAGTCCAGGCAATTGATGTTGGAGTGGGAGTGTTCTAGAGAGAGTTTGATGGATGGGTGGTGGCTGTTGAACTTGTGGTGGAAATCTGAGGGAGTTTGGATCTTCTGTTCAGAGGAAGAAAATATCATTGATGTATCTCAGGCCTATTGTTGGTTTTGTGGTACATTTCCCCAGAAATTCTTCCTCAAGATGGCCCAGGAAAAAGTTGGCATATTGGGGAGCCAGCCTAGTTCCTATGGCTGTTCCCATGGTTTGAACAAACTGTTTGTTGTTTTGGGTGAGCATGAAATGGATAAGTTTGGCGAGGTGTTTTGGGTGGACTTCTGAGTGCTGTGAATTATCTTGTGTGTATTTGAGGCAGGCAACAATGTTATCATGGGAAGGGGTATTGTAAAGGGTTGTGACACTGATGGTATACGAGCAGAGGTTAATGTTGTGGAGTTTCTGGAGGAAGTTGGTAGTGTCTTGGAGAAAGCTGGCCCTTCGTGTGGCTTAAGGATGGTTTTAATGAGTCCTGATATTCCTTCAATAGAAGTGCCATGGCCGGACATGCTGGGTCTGCCTGGGTCCCTTGTTTGTATATCTTGGGAAGTGTGTAGAAGCTCCTTGGAGTGGATGCATGGGAGCTGTGTTTGTAGATTTTTTTTCTTGGAATTGTTTGGGGAAGGCTTTGAGGGTATCTTTAAATTCCGGTGTGAATAGTATTCTGGGAGGGGTGGGGGGGGAAGGTCTTCTTTGAGTTCTTCATAGTAGAGAGTTGTCTCTTGGCCTCATTGTTGTAGTGATCACAATTGAGGATTGTGATAGTGCCACCTGTGCCAGCAGGTTTGCTCATCATCTGGTGGCTGGATTTCAGGGACTGTATAGCTGTCCTCTCGGTGGTAGAGAGATTGTGGTGGATGCAATATTTGTTTGAAGATTTCATGGTTGATTATTTATATGACATTTATTGACAATGAAGGGGTCAGAAAAAGTTACTTTTCAGTATACAGGGAGAAATTTTTCTGTCTGAACATTTTTGGTTAATTATGAGATAATTTGAGATTTGTGTTTTTACTACATACATTTATTCCATTAACTGGATTTATTTAAACACTGCTATGTTTTCAGGAATGGGGCTATGGATGGTATACAGATACAGATAGGATACAGATTCGAAGCCATCTCTTCAGTGACTGGAAAAGATAAAGATATATCAGGATCAGCTTTGTGCCTCTGATTAACACTTTCAGTGTAACTAAATGTACTTATTTTGTCAAATATAGGGCCTCCTTCTGCTTCCATTAAAGTCAGTGGGAATCTTGTGATAATTTGTAATAAGTTAAACTACAGATGGGTTAATCTCAGGACTCCCTTCTATCTGAGCTCCATCTTAATATTTATAAGAGTTTGTTATGACAAATATTTTTGAAGAGTGGCAGCCCAGAAGAATCCCCTATCCCACCCTCATATAAGGCCAACCTTTCCTATGACAGGATGCCTTGGATAATGAAATATCTATATTTGTAAATACTTCACTACCAGTTCCTCCCACCCCTTACTAAAAATTACATGGCATTGCACCATCCATTCAGAGGGCGGGATAGCTCAGTGGTTTGAGCATTAGCCTGCTAAACCCAGGGTTGTGAGCTCAATCCTTAAGAGGGCCACTTAGGGATCTGGGGCAAAAATCAGTACTTGTCCTGCTAGTGAAGGCAGGTGGTTGGACTCAATGACCTTTCGGGGTCCCTTCCAGCTCTATGGGATAGGTATATCTCCATCCTGTCTATGATACTTAGCAGCTGACATACCATCTATTAAATCTTATGTGATGTTTCACTTTGCAACTTTTCAAAACTAAGCAGATGTCTTGGTAAAAAGGGATAACTCATGTTTAATAGATAAACATATGGCTGTTGTATGTGCTGCTGCTATGTAGGGTGGGAAGAGCAGGGAAAAGCCCTCCGAAGGTTCTGATAAGGAAGGAACCATGATTTCAGAGCCTTTTGTTCAACAAGACCATTTAGCATGTTTAAGAGGAAACCTCTGAAATGTTCAGGAGACGTCCAAAGATAAGCTGCTCATTATACTATTGTATTTACCAGGTATGTGTCACTTTTTCCTTTAGCTAATTTTCTAATCCCAAACGTAACAGTAATTTTTCCCAGCATAAAACATGACATCTCCAGCTTCAAGTGCTCTAAGATACAAGAAGAATACATCAAAGAGCAATCAGAGAAGTGAGGGTACCTGCAATACAGAAATGACAACAAATTTTATAAACAAGATATACATACACACAGCTACAGGTGATGGACAAAAGCATGTAACCATTCACAAAGAGCCAGATTTGGGGGTGAGAAGGAAGGGACAGCCATGTAAAGATGTGATTATCTGCTAAACCAGCCAATTTAGTAAAATGTTAGCCATTCCAAAAGCCAAGACCAAAAAGGGGGCACATTTGTTCATTTCCCCTCTGGAATTCATAACCCCATGCTTGGGAGCTCAGGAGGGAGGGTGCAAGTTAACATGAATTGTGTCATATTTAACTTGGCTATTGCAATGAATAACTTGGCTCTTTTCCTAAATACCACACCTTTCTTACATTTCTGACTCTTTCACACTTTAATGTTGCTGTTTTGGTACATTAAGGTTTCTTTTCAGACTTTGCTTTTGAACATACACCTCTAATTCTCCTGTGTTCTGCAGATCTTCTAATGTACAACACTCCACTGGTGTTTATTGTAGTCCATCATTTGGACATTGTGTGCATGCAGCACTAGTGTATGATTTATAATAGGTGGATGAATAAAATCAGGAATCGCAACCAAATACAGTCATCTATGGTCTTGAAAAGGAAAGTTCTATGGTGTGAGTTTACTGTCCTTCCTGTGGGATTTACTTATTCTGCAAAGTGGTAAAAAACATAGAGCCCAATGCTGAAATTCTTTAGCCTGATTAAGGACTCTAGAACTGGATTCATAAATATTTATTTTGATGTTTCAGTCGCATGATAAATGCATTACACACAATAAAAATATTTTTTCTCAAAATCATAAAATAACAGACCTTCACAGCTGCAGAATGGCCTCAATTTCACCCCCTCTTTGTTTTTCACTTATTGCCCCTCACTACTCAGAAGCCTTGGAAAACAAGTGTGTTTTGCAGTGTGTCCTGAAGGTTGCCAGATCCAGGCTCTGGTCAACCAAGACCTAAATTCCAGATTAAGGACCCTTTCTCAAGATTGTCAGCCATTTTCATCCCATTTAAATTTGGGAGCTGTTCGCTCAAGTCTCCCTGAGGATCACAACTGCTGCACTGTTTTGGTCTCACAAATAGCAAGGACCCAAACCATTTGAGCTTTACAGATCAAAACCAACACCCTAAACGTCACCAGTAAATTAACTAGTAATCAGTAGAGAGCACATGTGTAATGTACTCTTGGCTGGCAACACTGCTTAACAAGCAGACTGCAGGGTGCTGCACTAACCCTGAAGTGACAAGAATATAAATAACCTTGGTGAGGTCCTCCTCTGAAAGAAAAGCATTAACTCTTCTTCTCAGGGGTGTACGATATAAGGCATATCTAGCAACCTCTGCTGCTTGGACATTCAGGAATAGCTGGGGATCCAAAAAAAAAAAACCCAATTGAAACAAACAGCAGATAATCCCCACCATTCAGAGATGTTGATACAACGTCTGCTTCTTCCAAAAGTTGCTTCATCTATTCTATAACTGTTTTCCAATGTCTTGTCTACACTAGAAAGGGTTTTCTGGTGTAGCTATGCCAGAAAACACTCCTACTATAAGTTTATACTGGACAGAAGAGTTTATACCAATCCGCAAACAAAATAAACTATACTGGGAACTCTTCTACTCTTATAACTGAATCTACACTATGACTTTTGCCAATATAAAAATGTATTAAAAATCACAACCCTAAGTGGCATTACTATGCTAACAAAAGTTTGTAGTGCAGACCAAGCCTATGTCTTATATGGATTGAGTCTCAGGAAGTTAGCTCTCATCCATGTCCCATTCTGCTAAACCACAGTGGCAGGGTCAGGAAGAGACGGAAATATAGATTGGTGTCATAAGCATATTTGAAAGTACTAAAATCAATACTTCCTAAGTTAGCCCTGTCTAAGGGGCCATACACAGGTTATACAAAAGGGTGATAGGCTTGACACTGTGGAGTCCTTAAAGCAGATAAGAAATTGCCCAACGCTACCTTCTGGGATCTCCCAAAAAGGAGCGGAGTCATTGAAGAATTATCCCTCTCGGCAGATCTCTGCTCATGATCCACAGCACCCTGTGGCCAATGGTATTAAAGGAAGCTGATAGAGCTAAAAGAATCAGGAGGATGCTTTAATCTTTATCTGTCATCAGATTGCCAACCAACAAATTCAATGTGGTTTATGTACAACACCCCATGCCTAAAACCAAATGGACTGTGTCCAAAGAATTGAGAACTCTAGATATTGATGGAATTGTTTTGCCTCAATGTTCTCTCAAAATGAGGTTTAAGACAAAGTGATAGTGATGGGGACTGGCCATCTTAAGAGATGGTTTATGAACAAGGATTACAATTGCTTATTTACAAGAAGCTGGCATGGCACCTTCCTATCCCTCACCAATGCATTGACCGTGGACAGAACACCTCTCTGTTTCCTTTCACCAGCTAGGCATGACATAGATCTATCCCACCATTTGTAGTCTGTATGTCCCTCAGTTCTCGAGGCTCTGTAGGTACGATTGGCCAAGACTCCAAGCAGAAAAAGGTCTGATGTGTCCTCCCCATGCCCAAAAGAATTACTTCCACCATCACACAAACATACCCCAGTCCAGATTAGAGCAATGTTAGTCAGAAATAATTTTGACATGAGCATGAAATACTCAATTGTGTCATCAGGTGCAAACAGACAGGCTTAACTAGGCTGTCAACCAACCAGAACCTTTATGCTGACTGGGATTTCGCAGATGCTATGGTGATGTCTTCACCTACAGTATAACCACAGAGCAAGATTTCAAAAGATCTTCTGACCACAATTGGTCCAGGTGGGACAGGGACTGGGCTCTTAGCCACCACCCTCTAGCCACTTTCCCTCCTAATTTACCAGTTGCAGACCATCTGAACAAGTAACTCATGGAAAGGAGTCTCTTGTTGTTCTTGTCATCTTAAATTGCAAAGATTGCGTAAGTAACCAAATTCTTCCAGGAACATAAATGGTAAACATCTCACTTCAGTCAATTTAAAGGTAGTCTAACAAGCTCAAGCATTAGTATTCCTGAATGGTTTTTTTCCCTATGCAAAATAGGTTACATTGGAAAAAAATCTCTTCCACCTTGGAAGTCCAGACAGTAAAATCTTCCAGATGGGACCACTGTCAGGGTTGGCCAGTGTTTGACTCAATTAACTTACAAGTGAGCTTCTATCTAAAAGGTAAAAATGTAATTTCACTGTCTATCGCTCTCTTGCTGCATGAACAATATTAAGCTACAATATTAGCTTTGCATGACACATCTTATATTGTACAGCCATCTAGAGGACTTTTTCTTTAACTACAGCAATCCTATACTATTGCAATGCAAACACAAAACTGTGGGAATTGTAGGACTGGAAAGGACTTCAAGAGGTCATCTAGTCTAGTCCCCTGCACTCATAGCAGGACTAAGTATTATCTAGATCATCCCTGATAGGTGTTTGCCTAACTGCTCTTAAAAATCTCCAATGATGGAGAGTCCACAACCTCCCTAGGCAATTTATTCCAGTGCTTAATCACCCTGACAGTTAGGTAGTTTTTACTAATGTCCAACCTAAACTACCCTTGCTGTAATTTAAGACCATTGCTTCTTGTCCTATTCTCAGAGGTTAAAGTGAACAATTTTTCTCCTTCTTCCTTGTAACAACCTTTTATATACTTGAGAACTGTTATCATGTCCCCTCTGAGTCTTCTCTTCTCCAGACTAAGTAAATCCAGTTTTTTCAGTCTTCCCTCATAGGTCATGTTTTTTAGACCTTTAATAATTTTTTGTTGCTCTTCTCTGGACTTTCTCCAATTTGTCCACATCTTTCCTTGAAATGTGGCACCCACAATTGGACGCAATACTCTAGTTGAGGCATGGAATAGAGCAGAAAAATTACTTCTTGTGGCTTGCTTAGCACACTCCTGCTAACACATCCCAGAATGATGTTTCCTTTTTTTTTTTTTTTTTTTTTTTTGTTGCAACAGTGTTACACTGTTCACTCATAGTTGGCTTGTGATCCACTATGACCACCAGAGTCCTTTCTGCAGTACTCCTTCCTAGGCAGTCATTTCCCATTTTGTATGTTTGCAACTGATTGTTCCTTCTTAAGTGGAGTTCTTTGCATTAGTCCTTATTGAATTTCATCCTATTCAGCCCATTTCTCCAGTTTGTCCAGATCATTTTGAATTTTAATCCTATCCTCCAGAGCACTTGGGACCCCTTCCAGCTTGGTATTGTCTGCAAACTGTAGGCTCTGCTGACTCTTTGTGGCCGTTAATCCCTTTACTATCCTGTGGAAATATTCTGTAAATCCAACTCTGACGCAACTCTGGTGCTGTTACAGGGACACTGCTGTCTTAATTGTGAGCCATTTTAGGGTGTGCTCTTTTTACCAAGAATTGTGTCAGACACATGTTCATTTCTAGTTAACATGATTGATTAAAATCACAAGGGGACTTACCTCTATGCAAGAGGGTAAGTCCCTAGAGACCTCCCCACACACTCTTGCTAGCCTGAGCTCATCTGCATAAACTTGAAATATTGCTCGCTTGTGTGTCTGTCCGTGTGTGTTTCCCCTTCCCTATACCTTCTAATAATGTGGGAAGGCTTTTGCAAAAAGGTTGGTTTTCACATTGAACTCTGAAAATGGGCAGGGTAGGTAGGCTTACCTTGATCTTGTCCATTAGGAGTTTAGCAGTAAAGAACTCTCTGTTGAGAATGCCCTGCCTCCAACTTCAGCATGCTCTGAGCATAGCTGCCTGGCCCGGTTATGGCCTAGGTACAGGCCCACTGAGGGCTTTAAAGATAAGTTGGAAATGAACAGAAAGCCAGCCAAGAGAGTGGAGAAGTGGGAGGATGCACTCTCTGCATTTTCCCTGATGAAAAGAGAGCATGTTTCTGCCAGTTTGTGTGGGAGCTTGAGGTGACACCCTGGACCTGTGAAGGCAAAAGTCCCATTGGCTTCAGTGGAGCTAGGATTTTACCCTCTATCTAGAGCCAGAGAAAACGAGGCTAGTCGGGCCCCACTATTATCAGCTCTTTTTATTGCAAGTCTTGTGATATTCGTTGTTTTCTTAAATCTCCACGACTAATGTGACTCAGCAGCAACTTGGCTGTTGGCTCTCATTTATGGAAGAGGTTTTGAGGCCTCCTGGCTGCAAGGAAAAGCTTGGAAATGTGCTATGTGAAGGCTCCAAAACCCGAAGGCCAAGAAAAGGAACCCAACCTTCATTATTTTTTAAAAAGCCAATGGGGTTACTTTGGGCCTGACTCGGGATTTCAGAGTGTGGGGGGGTGGGCCACGGTGCGCGCCTGGGCCTCCCTGGAGAAGAAGGGGCTCCTGGTCCTGTTGCTAGCGCTGCCCGGAGGAAGGACTGGCTTGGCGATGAGAGGAGGAGCGGATTCCCTCCAGGCTTCTCTGGGCATTAATTACACGTACTTGGCATTCATGCCCTGGGCGATCCGGTGCATTCACACAGCGCACTAAGGCTGCAATACAGCGCGGGCGGGGGTCGGCTCAGTGTAGAGAACCCAACAAGCCAAAGACCGCCGGGGTCTGTGACCCCACCGCGCCCAGGGGGACCCCGCGCCCGCTCTCCGGGGCGGGCGTGTGGGAGCCGGGGGCGGGATCCGGCTGGGGAGGGCGGCGCAGGCCGAAGCCGGAAGCGCTGGGGAGTGGCTGGCTCCGTGGACGGAGCCGGGGAGCGCGGGCTCTCTAAGGTCGGTGCCTCCGCCTCTGTTCCGCCCCGCCGCCGCCGAGGTGGGGCTGCGCGGCGCGGCGCGGGGGCGGGTTTGCCAAGCGCGGAGCCGCCGGGGCTGGGGTGGCTGCAGGTCCGTGGCGCCTCGGGGCGGGCTGGCAGCGGATAAGGCATGTCCCTGTAGGGGAGCGCATTGCGGGGTGAGCCCGGGGGATGCGTCAGTACCCGGACCTGGAAAGGGCATTGGGGGCTGGATACGGAAAAGAAACAAAGGTCTGATCGCAGCCTGCACGTTTTGCCCCTCCGTGAATGGTTCCCACAGTATTGCCTGGGCAAGGACTGCGGCCCCTGCTCTCAAACTGTCCCTCTGAAGAGAGACACACAGAGAGAAAATAATGGGGAGGGGGATTTCCTACATTGCCCCACTGAAATACACAGAGCCAAAGGGGGGGGGGAATCCCATAAGTATCAGGAGGAGGGCCTTTAGGAAGCTGCTTTAATGTTAATCACAAGAGGGAGCTGAATGAATCTCGTAAGAGCAAGATCTACTAGTTGTGCATAGGCACAAAAGCAATAACACCAGTGAATAGGGTTGCTTTATCTAGCTGAGTGCATGTATGTACTGCAGTGTTCAATAGAAGGAGAGTCTCTGCAGATACATTTTGGGGAAAAGCTTGAAACATTAAACTGTTACTCTCTCCTCTGATGGAGTTCATCTTCCTCTCTGACTATTGCTAAACTCACCGTGCCTAGGATGACTTTTATCCCTGGTTCATGCAGATATTTTTGACTATGAGATCTGTGTTGATTTAGGATTTTACACTATGCTCTTCACCAGGGTAACAGAATTTTTATTTCTATATTTTTGCCTTTGGAACATATCCAATGCACCAAGGTGCTGATCTAGCACTCATGGAAGTGAACGGGGTCATTCCATTGATTTCAGTGGGCTTTGGATCAGGCCCTGTATGGACTCTGCTTTAAAAAAAATATTGCTGGGAGTCTGTTGCTGCCAAACACTGAATTCAAAGCAATCAATTCATTGATTGATCATTCAAGATACTATACGTCAAGTTGAACAAATAATTCACAAAATAAAATTGTAATGAATTTTGCCTCCCTCCCAAATTGTTCTTGAACAGAATGAATATTTCTCAGATTTATTCATTATTCAGAATTATTTGAGGAGTTCTGCAGTGAATCATACTTGGTCTTCAGCTTATTTACCAAAAGGTTGTGAAGTCTTCACAACTTACATTTTGCTTGTGTTAGCCCTTTTTTGTATCCAGAGTTTTGTTTTAAACCAAAAGAGAATAGCTTTTAAAGTTGTAACAAATTAAGGCCCCAGTCCTGCAAAGGCTTATCATGTGCCTCATTTGAATGGCTCATGTTACATCTTCGAGGGTCAGAAGGTCAGCAAGAGATTTTCTTTCATGTCGTTGAGGTATAGATTCAACCGTGGCATCAGAGACAGTTGACTCACAGTTCAGGAGTAACTCAAAATGCTCCTTCCATCTGAACAGGTGCCATTAGGCAAATTAAGAACAACAAGGCAGCAGGGCCAGATGGCATACCAGCTGAAGTCTACAAGTTTGGAGATGAAGAACTGCTAGGGAAGCTCCACAAACTTTTTCTTCATATCTAGTATAATGCGAAGATTCCAGAAGACTTGAGAAACGCTAACATTGTTACAATCTTTAAGAAGGGAGATAAGTCAGAGTGTGGAAACTAACGAGGCAATGCCTTACTGTCTTAATCAGGGAAAATTCTTGCCCGTATCCTCTTAAACCGATTATTTCCCCTTGCTGAGGAAGTATTGCTGGAATCTCAGTGCAGTTTTAGACCATCCTGCGGGACAACCGACATGATCTTCATTGCCCGCCAAATCCAGGAAAAGTCTCGAGAGCAAAATCAGGACCTGTATATGGCTTTTCATCAATTTGACAAAGGCCATTGACTCTGTCAATCGCGAAGCCCTGTGGAAGGTGCTGGCCAGATTTGGCTGCCCTCCAGAATGTCTTAAGGTCCTAAGGCTTCTCCATGATCAGATGACTGCCACGGTTCTCTGTAATGGCCTTGAGACGGAACCTTTCATCATCAAAACTGTGGTTAAGCGAGGATGCATTATTGCCGCAACCCAGTTTTCCATCTAGTTAGCAGTCATTTTGGTCCTCGTTAAAGATCACCTCCCCAATGGAGTTGACATTCAATATAGAATGGCTGGGCGGCTCGTTAATCTTCAATGTCTCCGCTCAAAGTCTAAAGTCTTCAGGGCATCCATTACTGATCTTCTGTGTGCTGATGATTGTGTTATCTTCACGCACGCTGAGAATGACCTTCACTCCATACTGGATTTTCTTGCACAAGCTTACTGAAGCCTAGGACTCTCACCGATATTGAGAAGACTACATACTGTTTCAGCAAGTGTTTACTAAACAGCATCATTACAAAGGGGGTGTGGACCACAAACTGGGCATTGATTTGAGCAGTCTGATCTGTTGGGATTTGCGCTGGGAGAACTTTAAAAAGCAATTGGTCTAAATATTGAGCTTAAGTGAGTCTTCAAACGATCAGTTGTAGTCATCTGACTGAGGTTCTCTTTCAGGGCCTGGTTTAAGGGTTACACTAACATCAATTAGAATATTGCCATTGACTTCAGTGAGCTTTGGATCAGGCCCTCAGCGCTCAGCCACAGGCCTGCAGTGTTGTTCTTGGTGTCGACATAATGAAACACTCTGAGAATCAAGTAGTTGGGAGGACGATGAAAAAGTTTGAGCCGCTGCTTTAGAGAATGAGACTTTGTGACTTTAAGAAATATTTAAAAGCAAAAAATGTTGCCAAATGTAGCAGTCTTAGCTCAGAAAACAGTAAGAGAACTGTACCCCCAAAAATCGAAAGAGGGATTGATAATTATCTTATAGGTACTTCAGATCACAGTATATCAGACTGGATTTATGATAGTTCAGTGTTTTCAGTGGAGAGTGCCTTAGCAGAGTGAAAACGATTCTGAATTTTGAAATGTCAAAAAGTTTGAAAAAGGTAACTATGTAATCGCTCAAAATATAGGTGGGATACAATAAAAGGTAGGTCCAGCATCCACACTGCAGAAACCTTATTATTCGGTCTGAATACGTTGCAACACAGATGTTGGATATGCATTTATTGTATTTGGCCCTTGAAAAGAGAAAATGCCCCTTATTAAATTCCACCTCAGAATGTGGTAGAAACAATATACCCATGACACTGTGCTATGATCTGATTTTACATAGAGCTGTTTTGAAGTGCTGTTACTATACATAAATTTTAAAGCTTTGTGCTCTGAGTATTTAATAGTGAACATATGCTCTCTTTTAAAGAATTCGGAACTCCCCGATCCTGCAAGATCATATGTGTGGGTGAAGCCCTGATCATGGCATAGGTCTTTCTATGTATTTATGAATTTTTTTAAATTTCAGGGTCCTAAAAGTGTCTCATGATTACCCTTTTCACTCAAAACCATTCTTGTTTTATACAGCATACTTCTGATATGGAATTCAGTTGATGGATTCCTGTATTTGATTGAATTGAAAGTAAGATTTAAATATTTCTTTTTTATGTTGTACATTAAAATACCATAAATTGGCCTGTTTTGTAAAGAAAGGCAATGACTGATAGTTACTTCCCACATTAATCCTTTTGAAAAGAAAAAAAAGAAGAAGAAGAAGCCAGCATTAAAAATAAACTTTGTTAGACAGGTTGTTACTTTGAAAGCAAGTGGCCAGAACACTGAGAGGCTTTGTAAGTTTCAGCTTGAAGCCAAAGAATAGTTCCTCTGGAAAGGCTCATCCACTCCCAACATGTAGCCATGTGAGTGAGGTCTTGATCAGAGGAAAGGATATCCAAACTGACATTTTGGGTTGGTGGCTGTGCCCTGCCATTTTCTCATACTGAATATAAAACAATGTAAAGATTCAGAAAACTGCAGAATATGTCACTTGGTCACCAAAAAGTATCAGAGCAAAAAGTATGTGTCTTTATTGCATTATGTCCCTTGATGTTGCTATTAAATACACACCATACTGAACTACTTCGTATAATTTTGCTTACTGTTTTTTAGAAGCTAACAACAAGGACATCATCTGGAGGCCAGAGAAACTTACGTTGCAAGTCGTGATGCTGCCGCTATGGGAAATGTTTCTTTACTTGCTTCTTTCATTTGGCTTCCACTTTTATTCCTTCTATGAAGTATACAAAGTCTCCAGAGGTGAGTCATTAAGGCTGCCCTGTTCATTTTTTTGTATTGCTTCTTGCCTTTGAGGTTCATTCTAGTCAATTATTGGCTAGCTTTATTATTTAATGCATTAGTTTATTTTCCAGGCAGGCTCCAGCAGCGTTTCCCTCTGAGACTTTTGAATTGAAGGTACCTATATCCTCTCTTTAACTGAGAACCAACAGTATACAAAAAAATAGCAGGAGGGGCAAGCTGTGCAAGGAGTCTTTTGTCAAAGCTTATTCAGAGCTGGTGTTTATGGTATTTGGAGGACAGTTGGAAAGGGGTATCTTGACATTTGCCGTTAATAGATATATTGCCTTTAATAGATCAAATTATAAATATGCTAGGTATGGGAATAAATACATGTTTTTTCTTTATAATTTTGTAGTGTATTTCGTCTGAGAAATAAGGCCCTGATCTTCTGCATACTTACACAAGTGTTTAACTTTAAGCCTGTGAGTAGTCTCATTAAAATCAGAGGGTCTATAGATGTG